TCAACTGAAAATTTCTGTGGATTGGCAATTTAGATCAGCTCTGCTGTGGGCCTTCAGAACAGACATTTTTCCCTTTTTATCTCTGCCTCTTTCTGTATGTGTCTTAGATTCATTACTACCTGTCTCAACAGGATAAGAATAAGTAAATGGTGTATTTCAACAGGTTGGCATAAGTACACGCAATGAGATGAGGGATCTGAGAGGCAAATCATATCAGATCCACTAAGTTAAAGACTAATTTTAGTTACAACTACAATTCTGTAGGTAAAGTTTTAGATTATAAAAAACAAACAAACAAATATGCAAACTGGTGTGTGTATTAGGATAGAATTTGAAGATAAAACCTGGATGGCAGTCATTATTTCTAAGGCTGGATTAGTTAGAGCAAGTTATATCTCAGGAAAGTTACGAGGTTTAGGTTTTCTTTCATTTCCCATTCCCCCATCTTTTCATCTCCACTCAGGAAACTTTTCTAGAGGCAGAGCAAAGGCATCTAAAAATAGAAATAATTTTATGGTGCAGTTCTATAAGTTTTCTTAAATAAGCTTTTCAGCAAAATTATTATTTCATATGATAAGTGTTCACTTTTCAGTTGCTCTTGCAGTGATTTGTTTGTTTCTTTGATTGTTTCTTTTCTTCCATTCGTATATTTCTGTGCTATTTTCAATGAGAATCTTGAAGGGGATTAAAAGATATGTACTTAGTACAAACACTTCACTATGTAAATAGAGAAGAGGATTTTGAATGGGGCTTGAAGAAAAATGTTGAGATGTTTCAAAGGTAGTAGTATTTCAAACTGAAGAGGAAAGCAATCATGATTAAAAAGATCACTCCTTAAGTCACTATTATTTATTTCTATTAATATTAACAGTGCTTTTGAAACCAGGGCCAAATTTTTGAGAAAAAAATGAATGGAAATTCAGGAATACAGGGATTCAAAGGGTAATTTGAGAACTTTTTTTTTTTTAAACTTATGAGTCAGTGGGCTGGGAGAGGCAGACCCACCCTCAATATGAGTGGGCACCATCTAATCAGGTGCTAGTGCATCTGAGAGAAAGCAGGCACAAGAACATGGAAGGACTAGACTTGCTGAGTCTTCCGGCCTTCATCTTTCTCCCATGCTGGATACTTCCTGCACTCAAACATTAGGCTCTAAATTATTCAGCCTTAGGACTCTTGGACTTAACACCACTGGTTTGTCAGGGGCTCTCGGGCCTTTGGCCACAGACTAAAGGCTGCACTGTCAGCTTCCCTACTTTTGAGCTTTTGGGACTCCGACTCATCCACCCCTGGCTTCCTTGCTCCTTAACTTGCAGACGGCCTATCGTGGGACTTTATCTTATGATTGTGTGAGTCAATTCTCCTTAATAAACTCACTTTCATATATACATATATCCACTCAGGGACAGTGGACTTAAGGAACATGCAGCCTACTGACAAACTACTTGGGGTGGCTAATGGAGTGCTGGCATCACCATTCCCTTAAGACTCAGCTACAAAGCTTATTGCGATACAGGAAAAAAACTTCCATGTCTAAGGGGAGGTAAGAATAGTACTTATGAAGGTTCCTGTTTGTATTAGTAAGGGGGCTCGAGCTACAGAACTAATAGGATATATGCATATATGAAAGTGAGTTTATTAAGGAGAATTGACTCACACAATCATAAGGTAAAGTCCCACGATAGGCCATCTGCAAGTTAAGGAGCAAGGAAGCCAGGGGTGGATGAGTCGGAGTCCCAAAACCTCAAAAGTAAGGAAGCTGACAGTGCAACCTTTAGTCTGTGGCCAAAGGCCCGAGAGCCCCTGGCAAACCAGTGGTGTATGTCTAAGAGTCCCAAGGCTGAAGACTATAGAGTCTGATGTTCAAGTACAGGAAGCATCCAGCATGGAAAGAAAGATGAAGGCTGGAAGACTCAGCAAGTCGAGTCCTTCCATGTTCTCCTGCCTGCTGTTCCCCAGCTGCACCAGCACCTGGTTAAATTGTGCTCACCCAGGTTGAGGGTGGGTCTGCCTCTACCAGTCCTCTGATTCAAATGTTAATCTCCTTTGGTGACAACCTCACAGACACACCCAGAAACAATACTTTGCATCCTTCAATCCAATCAAGTTGACTCTCAGGTCTCCATTACATATTACCCCAGATGAACTAAGCCTTACCTGACTTCTGGGTCTATGATGCTTGCTTTGGTTCTGGGTTAGAGGTCATTCCCAAGGTCATAATGGCCTTTGCTGATATGACTCAGTATAATAATGAGAGTGTTACTGTTGAGTAGACCATGCCATTCATCTGAGATAGAAGATGCATCTGTAGTGCATTTCCTTCCATGTATTTTCCTTCTTCACTTTCCCCAAGCTTTCATTACTTTTGTTTTTCCCTCAGTCTGTCTCCCCAGAATTGTACCTTCTAATAAAGTGTTAGTTTAGAAATTTACCTTATGACTTGTTTCCTGGGAAACCCTTCAAAGAAAAACTGCATAATCTATTTTCTTCCCTTAAATATCTTCTTGACAAGAAGTTCAAAGTTTCTACAAAATACTTTATTATTTCACAACACTAAATCATAATTTTTAAAATAATTTTGGCACCTTTGTTTATATCACTTTTGAGGGATAAAAAAGGAAGAGCAGTGTCAGACTGTAAGACATTTTCTAAAGAATTTCATTATACTTTGACTTGAATATATAAGTAAATAGCATTTTGAATGGTTTGAAGAGTAAATGGTTTGCTCTTATATACAATACAAAGAAATAACTGTGCTGCTCAGTATTAAAATTTATGAGAATTATTTTAATTCTCAATTATCATTTAAACTCTGACCTTCTAGTAAAAGTTGTTGAGTGAAGAACAATTAAGCATGTAATTGAGTGACTTTAAGAGAATATAAGCCAAAAAATAGTAACGCCCTAATATGAGGTAAAAACATGGCAAAATTTCATGTGATACCATACCCTTGGCATTATCTGAAAACAATGCATATCAAACAAACAAAAAACTATGAAGAAAAAGAAAAAATAAACAATAAATACAAGTGCCAAATTGTATGCTTTCAATTGCCCTCACCAGTCACAAACAAGTTTCAGAACAAGAAAAACTGAGGACAGAAAACTGGAACATTAGAGAAGAGGCCTGAGTGTGAGGTACAGCACCCAGCAGTACATGTTAAATAAGAAAATCCTTAAAACAGTAACCAGGTATACTAGATTTAATCACAAGCAAGCTGATTTAAAAAGACAAGCCCAATTTAGGAGGACAACTTCAATCCATATATTCTGGAGGAAATCAAAAAGGCAAGAGGAAAGTGGATGATGAAGAAAAGAAGACAGGGATTTAGGCCACTGGAAGCCACGGCAACAGAGTTAGAGGATCCACAACTTCTTCCTTACTATACGAAAACATCAAATAAACCTGACAGTATGTGGACTAAAGTACACGGACTTTGCTACACTGAGAAGAGTTCCAGTGATTATTTAAACATGTCATTATATTAAAAATTAACAAAACCAAAGTCAAATCTAAAGAGAACTTTTGCAGAAAAGCAGGAAAATAAGTTAAAGTAAGAAAAAATAATCACACAACAGAAGAAAACTATAATCTGTATTTTAAATAATCACATATACTCAAAAATGTTTTAGAATATGGGAAATGACTTTCAAAGAGAAATTCCAACACACACACACACACACACACACACACACACACACACACACACACACCAGGAAAAATATAAAAGAGCTGAGTGAACTCAGGAATAAAACCAAAGAAAAAGGACAAAATAATCTCAGATTTGAAAGAATAACTTACAAGCCTCCCAGGGGAGAATGTAACTAAATTAAAACTCAAAAATGGTCATAGAAGGCCATTAAGCAAACCAAGAATAAAAGGTGACATAAAGAAAGAAGAAAAATGGATCAGTAGAGAAAATAGTGACAAAGAAGACCTAGGAAAGAGATAATATCTATCTTATGGGAATTTTTGACAAAGAAAACAATGGAACAGAGCTAATATTTAAAACTATATTCCAAGACATATATCAGAAATAGAAAAATGTTGATATGTACAAAATGAAGGCGCTCACTAGATATTTGGAAAAATTGCTAGTGTGAGAATAATACAATTTAAAAGCTGTTCTAACCCCCTTAAAACTCTGTAAGCCTTGAAAGAGTAGTAACTGTAATCTCAGCCACATATAGTACCAACTTCTGTTCTCAGATTATTGATTAACTACCTTTCTCATTTCTGGGCAATGACTAGAAAGAAGCAAATGATGTCAGGGGCAAAATCCTGCCTTTTAAATTAATGGCCCTTTTTACATATGTTAATTGCCCTTTGTTATCCTGCTTTGCTTAGATCAGATGACAGAAAACCTACAACTAAGAAAAATTGTTAAATGTTCCCTTTCCAGAAAAAAAAAAACCACTGCCTATAACCAACCAATCAAATAGCTATAACTATGTGTCAACCTTTTATGAATAATATTGTAATCCTGCTAAAAATACCTTGTCTCTGCCTATTAAATGAAATCTTAACTTCTTTACTTTGGAACTCTGACTCCATTCCTTTAGATTTCGTATTTCCAGGTGGTCCATCTTTGCAATTTGCACATGAATAAACTTTCAAAAATTATATTCTGACTCTTCTCATTATTTTATGTTGACACCAAGAGTGAGGAACTCCAAGAAATATCATAGTAAAACTATTAGATTTCAAAGATGAGAATAAGATTATAAGAGCTTGAGGCAAGAAGATCAAATAACTAACATTGCCAAAAATTTTACACTATCATACTTTTCAAAACACCCAAACAAGGTAGCACTTAAAAAAAAAAAGGCACTGAAAAAAAAACCCATTTTTTTTTTTCCTTTTTATCTTTTCTTAGAGACAGAATCTCATTCTGTCATTCAGACTGGAGTGCACTGGTACAATCATAGCTCACTAACTGTGAATTCCTGGTCTTTTTTTTTTAATTTATTTATTTTATTGCATTTTAGGTTTTGGGGTACATGTGAAGAACCTGCAGGATTATTGCATAGGTACACACGTGGCAGTGTGATTTGCTGCCTTCCTCCCCATCACCTACATCTGGCATCTCTCCCCTTGCTATCTCTCCCCAACTCCCTACCCTCTACCATCCCTCCCCTATTTCCCCCCAACTGACCCCAGTGTGTAGTGCTCCCCTCCCTGTGTCCATGTGTTCTCATTGTTCAACACCTGCCTATGAGTGAGAACATGCGGTGTTTGATCTTTTGCTCTTCTATCAGTTTGCTGAGAATGATGGTTTCCAGGTTCATCCATGTCCCTACAAAGGACACAAACTCATCTTTTTTGATGACTGCATAATATTCCATGGTGTATATGTGCCACATTTTCCCTGTCCAGTATATCATCGATGGGCATTTGGGTTGGTTCCAGGTCTTTGCTATTGTAAACAGTGCTGCAACGAAAATTCATGTGCACATGTCCTTATAGTAGAATGATTTATAATCCTTTGGATATATACCCAGTAATGAGATTGCTGGGTCAAATGGAATTTCTGTTTCTAGGTCCTTGAGGAATCGCCACACTGTCTTCCACAATGGTTGAACTAATTTACACTCCCACCAACAGTGTAAAAGTGTTCCTATTTCTCCACATCCTCTCCAGCATCTGTTGTCCCTAGATTTTTTAATGATCACCATTCAAACTGGCGTGAGATGGTATCTCAATGTAGTTTTGATTTGCATTTCTCTGATGACCAGTGATGATGAGCATTTTTTCATATGTTTGTTGGCCTCATGTATGTCTTCTTTTGTAAAGTATTTGTTCATATCCTTTGCCCACTTTTGAATAGGCTTGTTTGTTTTTTTCTTGTAAATCTGTTTTAGTTCTTTGTAAATTCTGGATATCAGCCCTTTGTCAGAGAATTCCTCGTCTTAAGTTATCCTCCCTCTTTAGAATCCCAAGTAGCTGGGACTACATCTGTGCACTACCATGCTGGCCTATTTTTTAAAACATATTTTATAGAGATGGAGTCTTGCTGTGTGGGCCTTTGCCAAGGCCCCTCTGGAACTTCTGGCCTCAAGTGAAACTCCTGCTTAATCTTCCCAAAGTGCTTAGATTGTAGGCATGACTCAGAGTGCATGCTCAAAAACTTGTTGTTTATATATTAAATCACAAAGAAAATGTATGTTTCATAAGATAAAAATAAATATTACAGCAATTTCTGATAACAATGCAAAAACTGTGTAAGAAAATAAATCCCACACTTTTTAAAGCCAACTTCTATTTGAAAAAGGGAATACAAACTGAAATTACACAAATATAAGAAAATTTTAAAAATGACATAACTAAATTTGTAAAATGCATGGAAAGAATTTGTGATAAAATTCATTGAACAAAAAATGAATAAAATTAAAATAATTATATTCCCTGTTCTGAACAGCAGACTATAACCAGAAATTAACACAGAGCACACACACACACACACACACACACACACACACACACACACACAAAGAAATAACAAAGAAGCAGATATTAAAGGGGCAGATTATTTATTTTTTATTGTACTTTAAGTTCTGGAATACATGGGCACAACTTACAGATTTGTTACATAGGTATACATGTGACATGGTGGTTTGTTGCACCCATCAACTCATTATCTACATTAAATATTTCTTCTAATGCTATTTCTCTCCTTGTCCTCCAACCCCTGGCAGGCCCCAGTGTGTGATGTTCCCCTCCCTGTGTTCATGTTTTCTCATTGTTCAACTCCCACTTATGAATGAAAATATGCAGTGTTTGGTTTTCTGTTTCTGTGTTAGTTTGTCTAGAATAATGGTTTCCAGCTTCATCCATGTCCCTGCAAAGGACATAAACTCTTCCTTTTTATAGCTGCATAGTATTCCATGGTGTATATGTGCCATATTTTCTTTATCCAGTCTATCATTGATGGGCATTTGGGTTGTTTCCAAGTCTTTGCTATTGTGAATAGTGCTGCAATAAACATACATGTGTATGTCTTTATAGTAGAATGATTTCTAATCCTTTGAGTATATGCCCAGTAATGGGATGGCTGGGTCAAATGATATTTCTGGTTCTAGATCTTTGAGGAATAGCTACACTGTCTTCCACAATGGTTGAAAAAATTTACACTCCCACCAACAGTGTAAAAGCATTCCTATTTCTCTACATCCTCTCCAGCATCTGTTGTTTCCTGACTTTTTAATGATCGCCATTCTAACTCATTCTAACTGGAATGAGATGGTATCTCAGTGAGTTTTTGATTTGCATTTCTCTAATGACCAGTGATGATGAGCCTTTTTTCATATGTTTGTTGGCTAAATAAATGTTTGAGAAGCGCCTGTTCATATTATTTGCCCACTTTTTCATGGGGTTGTTGTTTTTTTTTTCCTGTAAATTGGTTTAAGTTCTTTGTAGATTCTGGTTATTAGCCCTTCTGCTGTGCAGAAGCTCTTTAGTTTAATTAGTGCCCATTTGTCATTTTTGGCTTTTGTTGTCATTGCTTTTGGTGTTTTAGTCATTGCCCATGCCTATGTCGTGAATGGTACTGCCTAGGTTTTCTTCTAGGGTTTTTATGTTTTTAGGTCTTACATTTAAGTCTTTAATCCATCTTGAGTTAATTTTTGTATAGGTGTAAGGAAGGGGTCCAGTTTCAGTTTTCTGCATATGGCTACCCAGTTTTCCCAACACTATTCATTAAATAGGGAATCCTTTCCCCATTGCTTGTTTTTATCAGGTTTGTGAAATGTCAGATGGTTGTAGAAGTGTGGTGTTACTTCTGAGGACTCTATTCTGTTCCATTAGTCTATATCTCTGTTTTAGTAGCAGTAGCTTGCTGTTTTGGTTATTTTAGCCTTGTAGTATAGTCAGTCAGGTAGTGTGATGCCCCCAGCTTTGTTCTTTTTGCTAAGGATTTTCTTGGCTATACAGGCTCTTTTTTGATATCGTATGAAACTGAAAGTAGTTTTTTTCCAATTCTGTGAAGAAAGTCAATGGTAGCTTGATGTGGAAAGCAATAAATCTATAAATGACTTTGGCAGTATGTCCATGTTCAAGACATTGATTCTTCCTATCCATGAGCATGGAATGTTTTTCTATTTGTTTGTGTCTTCTCTTTTTCCTTGAGTGGTGGTTTGTAGTTATTCTTGAAGAGGTCTTTCAAATCACTTATATGTTGTATTCCTAGGTATTTTATTCTCTTTGTAGCAATTGTGAATGGGAGTTCAGTCATGATTTGGCTTTCTGTTTGTGTATTATTGGTGTACACAAATGCTTGTGATTTTTGCATATTGATATTGTATCCTGAAAATTTGCTGAAGTTGCTTATTAGCTTACGGAGATTTGGGACTGAGATGATGGGGTTTTCTAAATATACAATCATGTTTTCTGCAGACAGAGACAATTTGACCTCCTCTCTTTTTATTTGAATACCCTTTATTTCTTTCTCTTGCCTGACTGCCCTGGCCAGAACTTCTAATACTATTTTGAAGAGGATTGATGAAAGAGGACATCCTTGTATTCTGCAGGTTTTTGAAGGGAATGCTTCCAGCAGAGAATTTAAAATAAAAGATCTAATGAATTCAATCCCTGGTTTAGTTAAGAAAATTATTATAAGTCAGTTAAGAAAATGTCCTGTACGAGCCAATACCTAACATTATCAAGGAGAAAAAGGAGAAATAAAAATATACGCAGTAAATATAACAAGAGGAAAAAATAATTAAAAAGAAGAAATCATAAAGAAATTAATTTGTAGACTTTCATGCAAATATATTTGAGAACCTAAATAAAATTGACAATTTCTGCAGAAAATTCAGGTTGCCAAATTGACAGTATTAGAGTTTAAAAGCTTAAATATACACATTTTCATAGAGTATGTAAAGATACTAAGTACTACCCTTCCCTAAAATGAACCAGGTCCAGATATTATAGAGTATAATTCAATCAGTTATTCAAATACCAGATAGATAGTCCTAATGTTTTACTGTTCATTTCGGACTCTTCAAAATCAAAGAAATCTTTCTAATTATTCTTGTGATTCAAGGATAAATACAATTCAAAGAAGAAAACTTCAGACCAATTTCACTAATAAATATTGACAGAGAAATTCTAAAGAAAATATTAGGAACAGAATCGGACACCACATTAAGAAATGAATATATGATAACCAAGTGAGATTTATATCAGGAATGAAATGCTGCTTTGGTTTTAGGAAATCCAATAACAACCACAATATGAATATACCTAAGGGAAAATGTGATTATTTTTCTACATGCTGAAAAGCTTATAACAAAATTCAACACCTATTCTTAATAAAAACATTCATTAAACAGGAATTAAAAGTTACATTCTTAACATGATGAAAATACATTTACCTTTGTCCTAAAGCAATTGTCTTATTTTATGAGGAAACACTAGAGGCATTTTTGATAAAAAAAAAAAAATAGGAAAACAGCCAGGATGTCCACTATTTCTGCCACTATTCAATATTGTGCTATAAGTATTTGCCAGTGTAACTCAAAAACAGAAATTAATTAGATACAAAAGAATGAGTAAAGGAGAAACAAACTTCTTCCTAATTGCAGAAGATATAATAGTGATAAAGGAGGTAGAAATAAATTATTTAGGCAGGCAGTGAGGGCAAAGGAGTCCTCAGCAGAACTTCCCTTCTAACAAAAAACAACCAAGAAATTATTATTTTTCTTCTAACAAAAAGCAGCCTGAAAAATCAAGTTGTAAACATAAATAAGGAAGTTGGAAACTTGCATAGGAGAATGCTGGCAGCTGTGCCCAGGCATGTCCATCATAGAAGCTTCATCTTCTCTTGTTTGTTTTCTTTTTTTCTTTCTTCTCCTTTTTTTTTTTTTTTTTTTTTTTTTTAATGGAGTCTCACTCTGTTGCCCAAGCTGGAGTGCAGTGGTGCAATCTTGGCTCATTGCAACCTCCATCTCCCAGGTTAAAGTGATTCTCCTGTCTCAGCCTCCCAATTAGCTGGAATTATAGGCATGTGCTACCATGCCAGGATAATTTTTGTATTTTGGTAGAGACAGGGTTTCACCATGTTGGCCAGGTTGGTCTCAAACTCCTGACCTCAAGTGATCCACCTGCCTTGGCTTCTCAGAGTCTGGGACTACAGGTGTGAGCCACTGTGCTTGGCCCCATCTTCCCTTTTTGTTCACATACATACAGTAATAAAGAAATGGGCAACATGGGGTAGCTGAAATGCCACCTGAATAATAAAAGACTGGGGTGGGGGCTACCAGAGAGATTCACACCCTATGCAAATGGCACAACTGATCCTAAGCAGTTTTTCATGCCCTACATAGATCAGACACAACCTTCTAATCAACTTATCTAAAGACTCCCTACATTTTGCTACGGATCAGCAACCCATTTTTCCAGAACCCCTTTCTGTAGCAAAGAGCTATTCTCTTTCTTTTGCTTATTAAATTTCTGCTCTTAACCTCACTGTTTGTGTGTCTGTGTCCTTGATCTCCATGGCCATGAGAGGAAAGTCAGGTGTCACCCCAGACAATGAGGCTGCATCAATAGTATACCTGGAAAACTCTAGAAAACTGATGATATAACTAACTCAAACAATAAAAGTATTCAGTGAAGCAGGATATGAAATTAGCATAAAAAATTAGCAGCCTTAATATATACAAATAAAGAACAAAGAGCTGTTGACAAAGAGCCAAACTCTGTAAAATACTTGAAGAGATTTATTTTGAGTCAAATATGAGTGACCATGGCCCGTGACACAGCCTTCATGAGGTTCTGAGAACATGTGCCCAAGGTGGTTGGGGTAGAGTTTGGTTTTATATATTTTAGGAAGGCATGAGTCATCAAGCAAACACGTTTAAGAAATATAATCGTCTGGTTCAGAAAGGCGGGACAACTTGAAATTGGGGCTTTCAGGCTGCAAGTAAATTTAAACATTTTCTGATTGACAATTGGTTGAATTTATCTGAAACCTGGGATCAATAGAAAGGAAATGTTCAGGTTACAGATAAAGGATTGTGGACAGCAAGTTGTATTGTACAGAGGAAGCTCTCAGCGGACTTCAGAGAGAGCATGTTGTAAAATGTTTTTTATCAGGTGTAAAAGAATGCCTGGATTTTAGTTCATTATCCCCTGGATCTGGGGAAAAAAAAAAAAAGGAAACAAAGGGGAAAGGAGATTCTTTACAGAATGTGCATTTTTCCCACAAGAGATTTTGCAGGGCAATTTCAAGGTACCGCAAGGAAATACATTTTGGAGTAAAACATTTTGATTTTCTTCTTGTTATGCCTCAGACATATTGGAAAGTAAGTCAAAATATATATAGGTTTAAATAAAATCAATTGAGAGAAATTTGGGCAAGACAGAAAATCAGACCTCAGTCCTCAGAACATAGTGATACATAAAATCCTATTTATAGCAACAAAGAACACTAACTACTTAGAATCAAAGTTAACAAGGAAAATGCCAAACCTCTCTAAGAAATTTAAAAATACTGCAAATCCTGAAGACACAAAATTATATTTTAAGAAATCAAAAATCTTAGGTAGGTTCATATGCAAAGTGACATATAATGGAGATTTCAGTTTCAAATCAATTTATAATTTCTATGAAATTTCAATAAAATAAAATAAACTATTTTATATTGTTAGCACTGTTGACACAGTTTATATGAGGGGAGAATACATGCAAGAATTGCCAAGATATTACTGAAAAAGATAAAACTACAAAGAATGACTAAGCCCTGCCAGCCATTCAAACACATTATAAAGCCTCTATAATTAAAAAAGCATGGTAATGGAATAGACAGTGTAATAGTGTTATACCAAAATACCATAGGTTTGGTCCAGGTCCTGCTGCTTGGAGAACAGAAAGCCAATGACTGTGATGATGAGTGTCACCAAGGAAGAAGAAGGCTTTAATCCAGTGCTGCAGCTGAGGAGATAAGAGCTCAATCTCAAATCCATCTCCCTGACCAAATAAGAGTTCATATAGCAGGGAAGAAATGTAACTGTGTGTGAGAAAACAGGAACTTGGGAGGTAAGGAAGCTGAGGAGAGCAAAACCACATGGTGATTGAACAGGTCCCAGAGACAAAAACTTCTTATCTGAGCAATTTAGAAGGAAGCAAAGAAAACCAAGTGACCATCGAAAGGTCATCCAGGTTGGGTGCAGTGGCTCATGCCTGTAATCCCAACACTTTGGGAGGCTGAGGTGGGCAGATTACAAGGTCAAGAAATTGAGACCATTCTGGCCAACATGGTTAAACCCCATCTCTACTAAAAATTCAAAAAATTAGCCAGGCATTGTGGTGTGCACCTGTAGTTTCAGCTACTCAGGAGGCTGAGGCAGGAGAATCACTTGAACCTGGGAAGTGGAGGTTGCAGTGAGCCAAGACTGCACCACTGCACTCCAACCTGGAGACAGAGTGAGATTCTATCTCAAAAAAAAAAAAAAATATATATATATATATACACACACACACACACAGATATATGTACCAACTTATTGCCAAAACAGTGTTTAAATTAATCCCCCAGAAAAGAGAACTAAAAACAATGCAACTATACCAGGAGGTAGATGAAAAAAAGTTATGAAATGTGTATCACTTTTACAACTGTGTGTGAAGAAATGGATTATAAATGTTTAGGGTTAATTTAGGAAAGACTAAATCATTCAAAGACTCTGGATAACGAATTCTTTTAAAAATTTGTCATGTATGAACAATAAAGTCATCAAATCCAAGACTAATTAGTGTAATAAAAAGAAATATTCAAATTAGTTAAGCTTTTTCTGTATTTTATTTGAATTCTATTCAAACATATTTGATAACACTAACTTCATTGTATTGTTATTGCTGTACTTATTCTCTTTCTGAACTTAGTTCTATCTTAACACTATCAATTCTTAACTTAGCATGATGCCCAGTACAAAGCAGACACTCTATGTATACTTAAAGTAATAAGTTAAAATAGCACATTAATCATTTCAGATATTTCACAATACAGTTCCTACTTGTAAAATCTATTCTTTTCATAAAGTACTGCTATTTTTTTCTTTTTCTTCTTTTCCATTTTTTTTTTTTTTTTTGAGAAAAAGTTTTTTTTTTGTACCCAGGCTAGAGTGCAATGGTGCAGTCTTGACTCACTGCAACCTCTGCCTCTTGGGTTCAAGCAATTCTCTTGCCTCCTGAGGAACTGGGATTATAGGTGCCTGCCATCAAGCCCAATTAATTTTTGTATTTTTAACAGAGACAAGGTTTTACCACATTGGCCAGGCTGGTCTGGAACTCTTGACCCTGTGATATGCTAGCCTTGGCCTCCCAAAGTGCTGGGATTACAGGTGTGGACCACCACATCCAGCCTTGCTATTTTAATTAAAAGTTATGTATATTCTCTGGGATAATTTGGAAAAGTAAAAAATAAAATAAAAAACCACCTTAGACATAACCACTACCAATGTTCGTAAAATATGCTTTTAGTATTTACTTCTTTATCTCTATATATACAACAGGTACATTAAATTTACTTTTGCAATTACATGGTTATTAGGAATATTCTTCTTGTCATGGCAGACTTTTCTGTGATGTTACTTGTAATTATTCCACAACACTCCATTTTAAAGAGGTACCATATTCAAGCACATGTTTTTGGTTATTTACATCAATATAACTATTAGGGCATAATATAAAACTGGGCAATAAATGTTCTTCAGACTAAAACTGAGAGCAATTACAACTGTATATTTTGAATTCATCCCACATAGAAGAATTCATCAGTTCAATGTGCACATGATAAGATTTTACTATTTTATTGTCAAATTGTTCTCCAGAAATGAGCATTTCTACCAGCATGGATGGGAATATCTATTTCTCAATAAAATGCATTCGTTAATATTATTTGGAATAGATTATTTCAATCTAATGAATATAAAATTATTTTAAATGATACTATAGAGGAAAGCTATGAAATAATACGGACCATTTGAATAATTAAGAACATATCTGAAAGTACAGAAAGAGATAATATATCTGATCCATAAAGCTCATTTGTATTGTATGAGCCAGTATTTTAATAGTCACTTGCATATTGTAAGTAAGAGAAGTAGGGACTGTACTTAACTATTCTCCTTGTGCTAAAAAACAATAGTTCAATACCTATCTACACAACTGCCATAAAATTTAAAAAAAAAAAACTTACTTAAAACTTTAAAAACAACAGCAGAAAAAGAAATGGACACTTCAAGGAAATTTATTAACATTTGCTCTAAGTTATTCAGTAACTATTATTAGTTTACAAGCTATTTAGCAAACAATACAGAAACTTAGCTGAAGGTAGGTGATTATGGTAAACAGAAAGTTGCAGCTTTGCAACATCAAATTACAAAATTCTGCATATGTAGCACAAATCTACCAGTGCTACCTTCAATGTAAAAAAGAGACTTGTTGAAACAAAGGAGATTAACAGTACTGCAGCATATGTTATAATACACATATATGCCTATATTATACAAGATGTCTATACATTATGAAATGTATGGTAAACTAAAATAATTGTGAAATATAAAGGATGTCTTTTTTGCATATTGTAAATCATGCCATATGTTATAAAAATATCCATAATTAAAGATATATATGTATATATATACACACACACACACACACACACACACACACACGCACGCATGCACACACACATTATTTCATATTTGGGGATATTTTCAGTATCTACTATTTCACAATAAATGCCCCTAATGGGAAATCTTTTCTGATGGATCTTTCTTAATTTTCTAACCATAACCTCACTCAACTTCAACCAGGACACATTCCGTATTAGAAAAATTCTTGTCATTGCCCAGGAAGGATTCCTGAACAGTTTCCTTGCCTACAAAATTTACAATTACTGAAATTCATTTTATTACAGTATTCACCATTCTTTGAACTAGTACTACTTTAAGAATGTAGATTAAAATTATAAAAGAGAAAATAGATGGAATAATGTAGAAATAATGATCATTTTTTCTATATATTATTGGTAGCACCAATGTTTATGAAAAGTGCAGTAATTTCAAATGATCTCTTGTTAACATGCCTCATTTTTAAGAAAATAGCTTATTTTTGGAATAAATACTATGTATTCACTACATATAAAGAGTGGTTTTAGAGTAAAATGTGCAGGTCTTGTATGAAGAAAATGTAGAATATTATTGGAATAGAACAAAATGAAATAGTATTCAGCCATAGAAAGAAAGAAAGCTTGTCACCTGCAACAAAATAGATGAATCTGGAGGATAGTATATAAAATTGAATAAACCAGACACAAAAAGACAAATGCTGTATAATCTCACATATGGAATCTACAAAAAATGTCTGTGGATCTTAAATAAATTACTTTCTTGCAGGGATATTTGCTACTGTTGTCATAAATATTACATCTGTGCACATTATCAATACCATAATACAATATCATGATACTCTTTTTTTTTTAAGTTTTATGGCTTAATGTTTTGCCTCTAAGTTCATAGCAAATTTTGAGTCAGTTTTTGTGTAAAGTATGACACTTGAGTATACATTCATTCTTTTGGCCTATGGACATCCAAATACTGCAGAATGATTTGTAAAAAAAAACCTATCCTTCCTGCATCAAATATTTTTTTGTGTCTTGTTTTGTCAAAATTTAGTTGGGCATATTTGAGTCTACGTCTGGATTCTCTATTACTTTTTATTGACTTATGTATTTATATCTTTGCCAATATTGCCCTGTCTTGATTAATGTAGCTGTGTAATAAGCATTAATATAGAGTGGAGTGGTTTCTTCTTTTATTATTCTTTGTCCAGGTTGTATAATTCTAAAATCTGTATATTTCATAATGGTTAGAAAAACTTTTGTATATGTACAAAAACCTGGTTGGAATTTTGATAGAAATTACGTTAAACCTATAGATTAATTTGCAGAGATTTGACATCTTTACTGTGAATCTTTGTGTCTTCCTGTCTAGGAACAGAGTATGTCTTTTCATTTATTTAGGTCTTCTTTGAGTTTTTAAATTAGCATTTTAAAATTTTGAGTACTCAACTTTCTCTATTGAC